AACGGGCGGCTACGAGTGCCGGGCGGGCCCAGAAGCCTCGGAAGGCGACCGCGAAGGGAGACGTCGGTGGGCGGGGTCTCGGGTAGCCCCGCCCCCTCACCCGCGACAGAACCAGCCGTTCACGCCTGTCTGTCAAGGACTGACCTCACCTTCAGGGGTCACCTCGGGCAGCTTTTGAAACCTGTCGGGCAAGAAAAACTTTTCCTCTTCCCATTTCGGTTCGGCTTTTGAGGGCCTGCAAATTAAACTGACAAAAGACAGGTTAACTAGAGAAAAGACAAAATGCAATGTGTTTTTATTCATGTACCTGCCAGAATTCACAGGAAAATAAAAGTGACTCAAAGAGGCAGTTAGAGTGTGGGCTGTACACTCTTACCAGAAGAAGGAGGGAGACGGGGCGCCGGGGGAAACGGCACTGTTGGGAAGGTGAATAGGCCCCGCCCTGCAGTAGGCGGGGCGATGATAGCTTGGGAAATGCGTTTAGGTGTCCTGAGTTAGTCTTTCCTGATTGCTCCCAGGGAAGGCGATTTATGACAGTTGCATTCTTCTGCGTTCTTTTTGGAAGGCTCTGCTTTTTTAGGCAGAAAAGACTGCTCAGGAATTCAAATGCCTTTTGCTCAAAATGTTTTTTATGTCACAGAGGCATATTCTGGACCCCTTCAAGCCTCGTTCAGGAAAGTGTGTGCGCTGAGGGCAGCAGTCTCAGCTGCCTCCTCTGTGTGTCCCTGCATCTAGCAAGGAGCCTGACACAGACATCCAAGGTGTGACATGCAGCTCATGGGCAGGAGTCCATGCCTGGTGTCAGCAGCCCCAGATTCTTCTAACTGACCCACCTAGGCCAGGCCCCCTTCTGGTTACAGATGTTCTCACGGAAGGTTTTATTTTAAAATATATTTTTATTTATTTCAGAGAGGAAGGGATGGGGAGAGAGAGAAACATCAGAGATGAAAGAGAATCGTTGATTGGCTGCCTCCTGGATGCCCCTTGAGCTCACAGCCCCAGCATCTGCCATTGACCTGAATCCAACCGGAACCCTTCAGTCCGACCCTCTATCCACTTAGTCAAGCCAGCTACCACCTCACTGGAGATTTTTCAAAGATGTCTGGAACCCTTGCTCTGGACCCTGATATAAAAGGACATTGGCTGCCCTAACCAGTTTGGCTCAGTGGATAGAGCATTGGCCTGCGGACTAAAGGGCCCCAGGTTTGATTCCGGTCAAGGGCATGTACCTTGGTTGCAGGCACATCCCCAGTAGGGAGTGTGCAGGAGGCAGCTGATTGATGTTTCTCTCTCATCGATGTTTCTAACTCTATCCCTCCCCCTTCCTCTCTGTAAAAAATCAATAAAATATATATATATTTTAAAAAGGACATTGACCTTAAAAGCTGGCGGGCTGGTGTTGCTCAATGGTTGAGCATCGATTGACCTATGAACCAGGAGGTCATGGTTCAATTCTCGGTCAGGGCACATTCCCTGGTTGCCGGCTTAATCTCCAGTAGGGGGAGTTCAGGAGGCAGCAGATCAATGATTTTCTCTCATCGTTGATGTTTCTATCCCTCTCTGCCTCTCAACTTCCTCTCTGAAATCAATAAAGATATGTTTTGGGGTGTTTTGTGTTTTGTTTTGTTTTTTAAAGCTGGCTTTTGCTAATCTAAACACTCCTGACTACACACCTACAGACTTGAGCCATGAGTGGGAAATAAATTCCGTTGCCATCTGGCTACAAACTGCAGAACCAAGAGGAAGAAATGTGAAGCCTAAGAGCTCTCTGAAAAAGCAAAAAAGTGGCAGGAAGCCCTGGGCCTGGCGGCTCAGCTGGCTGGAGTGTCGTCCTGATACCTCCAGGTCGATTCCCAGGTCAGGGCACATGCAAGCTCTCTAACAATCACTAACAAATGAAAGACAGGCTTCCACACCAGACCGCCTCCTAAAAACACGGCCGTCGGGTCTGGTCACTGTCTCCAGAGCGGCTGGCATTTGCGTCTTTCGCTTTCTGTGCGGGACGCGCCCCAGGCTCTCTCCATAAACATCTGTGGAATGAATGAATTACAAGCCGGGATTTCAACTCTAAGAACTCCGGGAAACTGGGGTCTCCACCCAGGGCCCAGGAAGCTCTGCATGGGAAGCCACTGTGGGTAGCCTCTGAGAGCGTCCTAAGAAAGACCCTCAGGGCGGCCGCGGGGTGCGGCGCCCGGGACTTAGGGTGGCCAGGCACTGCCAGCCGTGCGCGGGATCCTGCTCTCCCTCCACAATGGCCGCTGCGACAGGTTTGAGGCGGAGTCCGGAATGATCGCGCGGCTGTCTCCTGCTTGCACCCGGTTTACAGATCTCAAAAGCCATATTTGAAAAGCATGTTTTTAAATATGCTGTAAAAGAATTGGCAAGTGGATTTTGCTAAAAGAGCACCCTGGCCCGTACGGGGATCGAACCCGCGACCTTGGCGTTATTAGCACCACGCTCTAACCAACTGAGCTAACCGGCCAGCCAAGACTGAGCCTCGGCCACGATGCCTATGAGGGTTCTATGCCTGCGCTCGCCGCCAGCGGGCCCAGCGCCCCCGGGCGACTCCGGGACGCCGGCTCCTTCCCGCGGCGCCTGGCGTCATTCCTTCCGGCGAGGAAAAACCTGAGGCGCTGGGGTTTTCCGGGAGAAGGTAGGCGGCCTCTTGGAGCGAATGGAAGTTTTTCACGGGGAAAATGCAAAGGGCCTCCGCTCGGGAGAAAGATTTTCAGATACCGCAGCTCAATGCTGACTTCATCTCGGAGAATCCTTGCCGCTTGGAAACTTCCTCTACCCAGAGCTTTCGCTTTGGCTAAATAAAGCTTAGAAAATAACAGAAAACCCGAGAAATGACGAAAGAACCACCGAATTTCCCACTGCCCATCACAACCACGCTGGGATCTTGGCATCCTTCTTGCCATTGTTTTTTCACTGTACAGACATATACAGGGTGTCCCCCCAAAATGTATACACACTTTAACAGCTCATAGCTCAATGGATGTTTCTTTCTTTTCAGATTTAACCCACAGGAATATATCATTATTCAAAGTGTGTATACATTTTTGGGACACCCTGTATCTGTATCTATATCTATATCTATATCTATATCATCTACATCTACATCTATCTCTATCTCTATCTACATCTATATCTAGATATATCTGTATCTGTATCTATATCTATATCTATAATTCAATCTAACCTTGCTTAAGATACCCTTTTAATCTTGCATTTTTTACTTAGTATTCTATCGTAAGTCTATCTCTAATAATTGCAAATACCATTTTAAACGGTTCCTCCGTGTCGGCTCCCCCTTTTATCTGGAAAATGTCTTCATTCACCCTCTGACTAACTAGCACATGAATAAATCCTGGACTACCTGCTGGGTGGGCAACTGACAATATTCACTCCAAAGGGCCAGGGTCTGCATGCAGTGAAATAAAGCAGAGAGAAAGTGTTGGGAAGACAACACTCAAATGTGTCGGTTCCCTCAACGCGGATGTCCCAGGGGCCACGCTCTCTGGGTGGCCGGCCACTGGCGCGCTGAGGGGTCCCTCCTCTGGTCTGGATGCTCAAAAAACTGCTCCCAAGCCCGAGTTTCATCAGGGTTCCCTGTTGCGAGCAGGAAATCCAAGTCTCACTCATCTCAACAGAACAGATTTAGTTGAAAGGATGTTAGGCAGGGCACCAGGAAGGTTAGAGACCCAGGCATAGACAAATGACCACTCAGTCAAA